TTTTACATTAAAAAACACTAGTAAATGCACATGGCCAAAATAACTGAATCGTAGAGAAGGTTATATGCTGCAAAATTAAATTTCCCTACCCACCCTCACTTCTCTGCTTCCTTCTTCTCTCCAGAGGCTATCCTTCAGAGATCTATGTGTTCATTTATAATTTGCCAAACCTAACATATTATTGACTTATATTTGACTGGGGGCCTACTTTAACTGGCCGGTGTAGTGCCCGTCTCTAAAACGTATGTGTAATGAGAGGTGCACCGAGTATATTTTGCCCAAATGCTGAGTTAGAAGGAGTAAAACAGCTATTTGGCTAAAACTGAGAGCAAAGGCAAATATCTCCACTAAAGAAGGAACTTTTGGGATACTGCAATACATCTGATATATAAAAAAATTCCTTCTATGATTTCACTATTAAAATTTTTATAGGCTACATTTTGTAAGTTTGATTATTTTATTAAAAAAACCCATCATTTTCTCAGTTTTCCCCATCATGAAACTTTAATACGGCAAAGTTAACATTCTGCTTTGGAGTCTTCCTTCAAGATATAAAGAAGTGACAAACAGAACTTTAAAAAGACTTATGGCTTAAATGGAGATAAATTCATTTTAATGTATGCATGCGAGTATACCAATTATGGGACAATTAGAATTATGATATAATTTAGTCTCCATCTATCTTATTTACATCTTCTCAAAAATTAACTCAACCCTCTTAATATTTCCCTATGTATTTAATGTTTTGTAAGTTAGTCTTCCTGTTTTCTTTTTGTTTTTGTTTTTTGTTTTTTTTAGAGAGGGAGGGTGGGGTGGGCAAGTAAGAGGGAGAGAGAGAATCTTAAGCAGGTTCCACACCTAGCTTGGAGCCCCACACAGGACTCAATTTCACGACCCTGAGATCATGATCTGAGCTGAAATCAAGAGTCGGTTGCTTAACTGACTGAGCCACCCAGGCTCGTAAGTCAGTTTTTTTTTTTTTTTTTAAGATTTTATTTATTTATTTGACAGAGAGAGACACAGTGAGAGAGGGAACACAAGCAGGGAGAGTGGGAGAGGGAGAAGCAGGCTTCCCGCGGAGCAGAGAGCTGGCACAGGGCTTGATCCCAGGACCCTGGGACCATGACCTGAGCCGAAGGCAGACGCCTAACGACTGAGCCACCCAGGTGCCCCATAAGTTAGTTTTTATACATAAAATTAACAGCATTCATGGTTAACTTTGCAAAATTTTATTACTGCAGTAATAAATGTACATGTAAACTTCAGCTTACTGGTGGAGTTTTCGCATGTAAAACCCCAAAGGAGAGTTTCCCTCCAAGTCACAAATTGGCGATTGGTATTTAAAAGGGAATACTAAGATGCCAACAATAATTCTGCACAACATGCGTTGTTCATATTGCTGGCACTGTTACCCTGATCAGATACAACGGCAGTCTCTGCAAGCACATGACCACAGATTAGGCAAAAAATCAAGATGCAAGAAGTGATGCTGAAACAGGCATTTGGCTATTTAGATTTCCATAAGCAGAGAATGAGTCAAAGCTAAATAGCTGATTTTGGCTGAATACTCATCCTAAAGACAAACTTCAGCACGTTCCTAACTCAGCATAAAGGACATTATTATATTTTATTTTAAAATATTTCAATTTATTTATTATTCAACAGTTCTCTCATTCCCAACTCATCTAGTTCTAGAAGGTGTTAGTCCAAACTAGTGCTGGCTAGATATCTTAGCATTCCCTGTTTGGTCTTTCAGACTGGTCACAGAAAGCGTTACGTTTTAAATCAGTTTTATAAATTCAAAAACATGTAGAAAGTTAGAGTGAAAGTTTTAACCACATATATTTTAGTTCCTGTAGTCATAGGAAGCCTGTGACTATACTGTGTATTGGAATACAGTGACTTCTATCTCATGTCAAAACATATCAAAAGTTTGAAGTGTATGCACAATAATTTCCTATTACCTATAGACAGTGGTACTGGATCACAATAATGTGTCATGAAGTAATTACTAGCTGACATATAAACGGTACTATCCATGGAGTAAACAGCTTCATAATCAGTATTTTATTTGATATTGATTTACAAATCCATCCTTCTGTATTTGATTTCTGTATACCTACAGTCACTCCATATGTGCATTTAGAGATGGTAATTTCATTGCCTCTTTTACATTAAAATCCAATATTACAGAAATATGCATGATGACTTTAAATGCTTAATACTTAAAATAATTTTCTTTAAAGGGTGGTACAATACATTACATCATTTTGCAATACAGAGAAAAATGTCTATAAATCTCCTACTCTTATCAAAATTAGTATAATTTTGTTACTTCTGTCTCATTCTCATACACTCATTTTATATATGGTTGAAAGGAGTTGGAACTTTAAAAAGTAGCCTGAGGAGGCTGTGTTAAATCATGGGGATAAATACTTCAAATATGGCATATTTTTAAAGGCACAATGAGATCATCATGTATAAATCCTACTTGGTTTCATGGCTAATCAATCAACCAACCAAAAACTTGGTGCAAAGTGAACTGGGAAACTGATAATAAAAATGTTTAAAATATTTAAAATATTTTTATCTGAAATAACCAGTGGCTAGAGCAGAAATAATTCCAGGCTTACATTATCTAACAATTACTTTTTTACTTTCTTCCATTCCAACTTTGGGATTCCACACCACCCTATGAAATTATGTTCCTTTACTATAGCTGGTTTATCTGATGCATTCTGCCTGTGTTTGGCTGGTGAGTCTCCATAGTGGCACTGTTCATACTACTTCATCTAAACAGTGAAAACACAATGATGACTTTCATGTTTTTTGTTTAAAATATAAATATTCTGCTCAAACCCAGATGTGTTTTCAAATTTATTTCCTTTTCCTTGATGTTCTCTATTTTGTGCGTTTAATCTCTCATACATTTTACGGAGAGTACAAATAGAAAAAAAGGAAAAAAATGGTAATTCTATAAAAAAAAGCTCAGAAATAAGAAAATTTTTATTTGAAAACTATTAAAATGGTTATATCATAATAAATTTCCTTATTTGGCAAGATATTTGTATGCTTGTTTTGGAAGAATATTCTACTTAAATTACATTTTGCTTCTGTGAACATCTGTTTTAAACTTTCTTGAAGTGTTTGTTTCAACGGTTTTACTCAAATAAAATCATGGTACCTCATGCTTCTTTCTACTGAGGAGATTCTTATATGATTAGATCCTAAATATAGATTTTTATATAAATTTTATTGAAAAAAACCAATGAGATAAATTTATTGCTTCTGTTTTAGTGTAGTCTCTACCAAAGAAATTGATGTTTACATTGAATTAATTTATACACAGCTTTCTTTTCTTTAAACTTATTTCGTCATTTGTCCTCAAATTGTATTTATTTTTGCAGAGAACAATAGTTTATGAATAGAACATTCACGGGCCCGGTGACACCATGATTTATTACAATTCTCTTTGGAATAGTGCAGAAAAGTGGGTTTATTGCCTTGTTTTTCTTTCACTATGTAAACTTTATCTTTCTTGATTGCCTAGGAGTGATTCAGTCAGGTGAATTAGAGGATCTGAAGTCAAGGGAAGTAGGGGATTCTGGGAAAAATATGCCACGAAGACAGTAATTTGATAAATAAAGAGAAAAATATTTACTACAAAAATTTAAATTTCATGTGCCCTAAACAAAATTGTGTGCATTTTAAAGACTGTCTTTTATTTGCCTAATTTTATTTTTTCTATTTAATTGTTCTTGATTTTCTTTTCTTTTTTTTTAAAGATTTATTTATTTGAGAGAGAGAGAGAGCCCGAGGGGGCAGAGGGGCAGAGGGAGAGAATCTCAAACAGATTCTACACCCAGCTCTGAGCCCGACATGGGGCTCGATCTCACAACCCTGAGATCATGACCTGAGCCAAAATCATGAGTCTGAGTCGGACGTTTAACCGACAGAGCCACCCAGGCACCCCTTGATTTTCTTCAGTATGTCCTACTGAGTCAGAAAAATGAACAAAAAATACTACTACAATGTGAATCCCTTTGTAACAAATATAATTAAAGTCCATTTGGATTAATGTTCACTCCAACAAAATCCAAATCCAAATCAGAATGTGCTTTTATGAAGTTTAATGATATTTGACTTTAACCTGTACTAAGAATTTTAGCACCCAGGGAGTCATTTTGTTTACCATTACCTTTTTTTAAACTAAGAATGCTTTCCATTTCCCCAAAGTTGAGTCAAATGATGAATATATACAATTGTATAATTTATAGTGTTGTATTATTTACCATATTATTGTATTATCAAATTCCATCCAAAGTTTTCTTATCAGAAAAACAAGTAAGGGCAGCCTTCTGAAGCTATAACTTTTACAATATATGCACAGGCAATTTTATTTTAGAGAAAATAAGATCAATCTGGTCCCATGACGTATGATGGGGTCCTATAAAGCATAACTTGGAATGGAATATGCTTTGTAGAAATACAGACTCTTTCGTATATGTGAGAGTTTCAGTGTGAAGATTAGGAACCTCTATCTTTTTTTTTTTTTTTATCAGTTCTCCAGATGTGGAGAACTCCTTTCAGCTCACTTTTGTTAAATGGAGTGTTGTTAGCCTTCCCACTCATCTAATTCTCTGCAGGTCTTCAGTGTATATTCAACAGTGCTTAAATCTGGTTGTCCTTATAAATTATTTTCTGCCATTAGACTAATAAATACACATTTAATATCTAACGAAACATTGGCAAGCAGTTTTTCTTGAGACTCAGGCAAGCAGTCTGGCAAGCAGTTTTACCACACACCTGAAAGCAGTGCGGAGTAAAATCCCTGAGTCTCAAGAAAATGGGCCATGCAACCGCGTTAACGATCGTGTTTTAATAATAAACCTGCAGGTAGTAAAAGCAAAATTTCTCAAGGCAGAAGGCAGACAGGCCATGAAACGAACAGTGGAAAGGGCAATAGGAGGAATGAAGCGTGCGCCAGTTTCTGTATGTAC